AGCCTGGCTTTGACTGTCCCTTCCAGCTTGATTCATGCTAAGCCTTTCTCTCCAATACCCAGGGACACTCTGGGGATAACACTGCTGTGATATGACTAATTCTTCCTCACCTCCAGCCCTGATCCACCCATGGGAAAACACCAAAGACTGGGTTTGTGGACCAGGCTGTCCAAACTCTCAGGACGAGGCATGAAGAGATGATCACTCCCATACCCCAGAGCTTCCCAAGTTCTATCTCCTGGGACCTGTGAAGGTAAATGCTGAAAGTTGACTCCAAAGCCAGTCTTCCTCTCCTCTGGCTGTCCTTCCCCAATCTGGTGACCTTGCGGTGGTATCTGGGGAAGTGGAGTTTGCATTCCTAATTTTTCTGAAAGGCCACCTCCTGCAGAGTGGTTGGTAGAGCATCATCTCCATGGGCCCTCAGCCAGCCACAGGGCCCTCCTGTCCTGGCCTCACCCATCCTGGCCTTTGGGCAGTTGTAGGGGCTTCACAGCTTTAGACAACTTGATGTTTCTCCCCAGCTGATGGGGAAGAGGCAAGAGAGTCCAGGTCTGTCCATGGCCTCTGGGCCTGGACACTGAGATGAAGCTGCAGTGTCTTCCTTCACCCCTGAACCACTGGGACAAGTCAGACAGCCGGGAAAGGAAGAAATAAAGAAACACATCACAGTGAGAGGAGGAAGAATGAGGACCCAGAACTGCAAGGGCAGCAGGAGGTTTCCTCACCTGCAGTAACATGATGTCTTTGGAGAAGCTCTTAGCATCATGGTTTGGGTGCAGGATGGCTCTTTCACCAGGATGGCCTGCTGGGTCTTCCCCTGCTCCTTGATGGTGTGGGCCCCCAGGTGACACTGCCTGATGTGCACTGAGAGCAGAGTGGGGTCTGGGGGATGGGGGTGGGGGTAGAGTCACAGAAGATACAGCCTAGGAGTGGTAAAGGGCAGGTGACAGCTGGGGCAGGGTAGGGGAAACCGAGGCCACAGGAACCAGGGGGCCGAGTGACTGCTTCTTAATGACACTGAGGTTAGGGAGCTGGGAGTTCTCTCTTACACTCAGGAAATATCACAAAATCGCTGTGCTTACATTTTGACTCTAATGCATCGTTCATCATCCACCGCAGCTTTATTTGCCCAGTGTGGTCCCTCCCTGTCTTCTCAACTACCTCACTGCTGTCACCTCTGACCCTCTGAGCCCAAAGCTTACCTGTCCTATTTCTCAGCCTCTTGTTGCTCCGTCATTATCTCTGAGGGCTCCTCTGATGAAGCCTCATGGGCTTGAGTTACCAGGAGCCTGGAGAGCTGCCCTGGGCTGCAGCTCCCAGGATGAAGGACAGGGTCCCTGTAGGGGTCTCAGGAGGTGTAGCCTGGCTATAGCCTCTCACCTTCCACTGAGGTGAACAGCTGTCCAGACCAAGTTCACGCTCACGAGGATACACCACACCTGGTCTCCTCATCTTGAATGTGAATGTAGGCCATGTAGGACAGTGATGGCGAACCTATGACATGCGTGTCAGAGGTGACACGCGAACTCATTTTTTTGGTTGATTTTTCTTTGTTAAATGGCATTTAAATATATAAAATAAATATCAAAAATATAAATCTTTGTTTTACTATGGTTGAAAATATCAAAAAATTTCTATATGTGACATGGCACCAGAGTTAAGTTAGGGTTTTTCAAAATGCTGCCACGCCGAGCTCAAAAGGTTCGCCATCACTGATGTAGGAGCTGGAGTGGGGCTTGGCTTCATGTCCCCTCTGAAGGTTAAGGCTTGAAGGTGGGTGACTGGCAGTGTCTGTGGTCAGGAGGGCAGGCTTAGGAAGGAGGGGATTGAGGTGGGTGGTCTAGGTGCCGTAAAGTGTGGGTCTCTTAAGTCCAGCTGTGGCCCAGTAACCTTCTCTGAACCTCAGGCCTCAGAATCCCCCTCTAAGAACAGGGCACAGTGCTTGCTCTCCAAGTCCTCCTCAGACACACGTATGGAGGAGACAAGCCCTGTTTTGCAGATAGTGGAGCCCCAACGGATGGAACAGATCTCAGTGTGTCTCCTGATACTCTGAGCCTGTGTTGGTGCTGTTTTTAGTAATCTACTCTATGTGTCTAATACATCCTAGGTTCTCAGTAAACATTTGTTGGTTGCATGAATGATGGACTCCAATTAGCTTTTGCCTAATGTCTGATGGGATTCAAGGCTACAGGGATGAGAGAGGGCACAGCCAGAGAGAGTGGAGCAGCCGAGGGCCTGGGAAGCAGTGCAGTTGGGGCTGAACATGGGCAGCTCAGGATGGGGCGAAGCCAAGGCAGCCAGGGAGCTTCTGTGCATTCATCCAGCCACAGCTCAGATCAGTCACACCTGGCTCCTCTCCTGGGCACGGCCTGCATTCACTTTCAAGATGAGGGGGAGACCAGGTGTGGTGTGTTCTTGTGCCAGAGAACTTCGTTGTGACACCTTCTCACTGTCGTGGAAGGTGAGAGACTGCAGCCAACTTACACCTCCTGAAAAATTTTACTGGTTCTTAAACATGGTCCAGCTTCCATGACAGTAGCTGGTTTGTCTGAGGTGCCCTTTTCTGGGTCGGAGTGAGGGGTCTTAATTAATTAATTAATTAATTAATTAAAAATGTTTTTATTGATTTTCAGAGAGGAAGGGAGAGGAAGAGAGAGTTATAAACATCAGTGATGAGAGGCAGTTGATTGGCTGCCTCATGCACACCCCACACTGGAGATCAAGCCCACAACCCAGGCATGTGCCCTTGACCAGAATGAAACCTGGGACCCTACAGTCTGCAGGCTGATGCTCTACCCACAGAGCCAAATCAGGGCGAGTGAGGGGTTTTAATAATGTCTTTTGTAGCTTCACATCTTTTGTCAAACGCTTTTCTCCACAAAACTCATCTTCTAGGTGATAAGAGAGAGGCTAATAGCTGCTGAACCTTTTAGTGCACAGCTTCCTCCTGGCCATCCTTGTTGAGTGTCTGTCCAGCATCAGACTTGTTAGTCTGGGGTGGGATGGGACCAGGCATTCAGAATTCCCGAGCACAAATGGAGGAAAAGTCGCTGCCTGTGCAGGGCAGAAGGGTCAGAAGGACAGGGGGTTGATGGGGGGTGGGGGCGGTGCCTCAGGTTTCTGGAATGGGGATGGTTACTTACCAGTCCCAGCCTAGAGGAGGGAGGGAGGCAGAAGAAAGACCAAGAGCAGGAGTGGCTGCATCTTCCCCAAAGGCCTGCCCAGGTCGGAGCTGCTGGTGTTTCTTGTCTAGACACAAACCCCTGAGGGGAGCAGTGAGTGTGGCTCAGTGACTTCCCGCATCTCCTTGACTGTGCCCCTCTAGTTTTGCTGGGTGTCATCACACCAGGTGTTTGTGGAAGTTCTCAAGCTTGGTTTGGTGACAATGGCACTGTCACCACATTTGCACTCCCAGTGCTAAGCCACAAGGTGCAAGCAGAAGGAATAAGAACATGAGGGCCTTGGCTGCAGCCAGCAGGGGTCTGGAACCTCAGAAGTCCCTCAGTGACTAAACCAAGCCTGTTTCCATGTCTGGGCTCCTGGCTCTTTTCCATTCTGATGAAATCACGAATAATCATATACCAGGCCAGGTCCAGGCATATGAGAGATGTGGCTTCTGCGCTTGAGAAGCTGACATCGGCTGCAGTGAGAATCTGTGGCTGGGGTATGAGAAGGGAAGGGCTATGGGGAGGGGTGCGCTCGGTGGTGTGAGGTGGAGGGTGGACTCGCCTGAGGACCAGGTGGCCTGCACACACCCAAATACCCCAAATGGTAGCTCCCTTTCCTCTTTACCACCACTCCAAACTCTTATTTTTGGAATATTTAGAATCTCCTTTGTAAATGTCAATATTATATGACACAAGGGGCTTCTCTTACCCCACCATTTTGAACAGAAGGATGGACTTTTGTTCATTGGCTCCAGTGTCCACAGAACCCTGTCTCTGATGCCCCTGGCCTAGCAGTTACATCCATTTGCAAACACATTATCCTAGCACTCTCACCAGTGTGACCACAGAAGGTAGAGTAATGGAAAAGGAGGCACTAGGAGTTCTCAACATCCGAACCCCACTTCTGTGCAAGGAGCAGCACCTAATGAACACATAGAGGAAGTGTGGGAGAACATGCCAAAGGATCAGTGATGATGATTTGTGCGTGGTGGAGGCCTTGGTAATTTTCATTTTCTTATCTACATGTTCCACATTTAACTATTTTTCTGTGATGAATATGTACTGCTTTTTATACCCAAAAGACATTTTCCCAAAGTGGAAGCACACCTATCAATGGCAGATGTTTAGTAAAGTACTTCTTTTTAGCCTGCCCTTCTGAAGTTGTATGTTTTAACATGAGATTCCTGTTCTTAACCTAGACATATAATAAAGATTTGGGTTGCCTTTTGATACAGAGAGACAGACAGACAGTCACACACACACACACACACACACACACACACACACACACATACGCTGGGAGGTGGAGAGAGGCTGCCTGAGACCGAGATGAAAGAGCACCATCAAGGTCAGTGTGGGCTGCCGGTGGGTGGGCTGCCAGGACACCATGGGCTGCACTGGGCTCTGGGCTCAAGACAAGGCTGTGCCAGGCACTCGAGCTGGGCCTGGGAGTAATGAAAGGCTTCCTGACCTTCTCAATCTGCTCTGATTGGTGGGGGGAGTGCTGCCTGGGGTGAACTATACCTTTCCATGATCTTCCCACCAATTTATCTTTGGGTGGAGAAGTGGCCCCTTACCTGAGAGCTTCTTACAGGACCCTCCATCCAATTTCTGTATTCTTTTATGCTGCATATTGGCATTGGGGCTGCGTGGGGTAGGCTGTAATTGTGGCTTGAAGTAGGAGGGCAATGTGGATGAGTTAAGAGGGTCCCCTAGAAGCGGGTCACTTTTGGGGGGCAGATGTCTCCCATTTTCCTGATGGAACTGTTATTAGGCCTCACAGGGGAGTTGGCACTGGGAGGAGTATTGGGAAGGAGTGGGTAGCAAGGCAGCATGAATTTTATTCTAGAAATGGAAGGTGCGGTCCATGAAGGGGAAGCGCTAATAGATAGGAGATATGAACAGATGGTTGCCGCACACACAGCAGGTAACTAACACATGTTTTGGTGAACACAGGAGGAACCAGTGACTTCTACTCTAGAGATGCAAGTTTATTAGGAGACTGGCAGCCTCCTGTCAAACCCTCTGCATAGAGCAGTTCTGGGCTGCGCCCCAGAGGAGATGAATAGATCAATTCCTGGTGCCTCAGTCTGGTCTCTGCAGTTGGAAACGTCTCATTGTTCTTTCTATCCAGGGCAGAAAGCTGGAAATCTTCATTTCAATACGAGGAGTTTCCCCATATTTTTTCCCAAAGGAGACAATGCCCTGAGCCATGTTGTCACACACGAGGGGGCCCCCAGAGTCGCCCTGTGGGCAGAGAGAGAAGACATTGAGCTGGGCCTGCCCTCTTCGTTGCCCTGGGGGGTGTGGTCCCTGTTAGGAGCTGCATGGGAGATCAGGGTCAGGGCAGGCCTTGTCTCCACCCTAGGCCTGGGGTTTTCTGTTTGACTCTGATGGTCTTTCTCCCCCTCTAGGAAGCCTTTGCCCACCAGTGGCTGTGGGACAGCCTCTCTGCTCCCCAGAGAGACAGGACAGGAGATTGGACACAGGGATATGGCTAGTTCCCACGGCGCCAGGTTGCCTGCAAACTTGGGTGTGCCCAGGGCTGGGCATGGACAATGCTGGAGATCTCACCTTAAAAGTAGACTGATTCCTTTCTGGGTCCCCCACACAGATCTCTGTGGTTCTGTTGTAACGGCGTCTGTAGCAAGAGATGCACTGCTCATCCCGTTGGATTTCCAGCTCTACCTCATGCAGTGTGTCTGTGCTGGTGCTCAGGTCGAGTCGCCCCCAGCCGGCCACTCTGCACACCATCCCTGGCTTCACCTGCTCTCCCCTCCTGGGCAGCCTGAGGAGGCTCACGGCGGCAGTCAGGGTGGCCTTCCTCTGCAGCTGAAGGCAGAGGACAGGAGTTCTCATTGAGCAAGGGCCCAGGGACTCCAGGACAGTCATAGCCCTGGGATAAGGAAAGGGGTCACACTGGGAAGGAGGTCACAGGAGATGAGAAACCCCAGGCTTAAGGTGTGCAAGAGCCAGTGGAAGGATGAGTCCTACCTGCAGCAACATGATGTCATTGACTTTGGGATGATAGTTTGGGTGGCGGATGGCTGTTTTCACTGGGATGACCTGTTGGGTCCTCTCGTTCTTGCTAATGTTGTGGGCGCCCAGGATGACTGTGATGGACCTGCACAGAGACAGCCAGGGACGTGGAGGCTCAGCAGATACAGCCCAGAGGCCAGGAAGAAAAGAGGACAGCTGGGGGCAGTGCAGGATTGGAGTGGGGAGGAATTCTAGGGGCTGGGGCTGGGCACTGAGCATGCCTGTGCCCTGTGCTGGTGGCAGCTCAGGCTAGGTGTCATTTCCTGGAGCAGATCTCGGGTGCTCAGCCACACCCTGAGCTTGCCTTTCTCTAAGCAAAACTGTGAATTTCTGGCCTCTGGGGCACAACCTTGGCCTCCTTCCTAAGCCCCTTTGATCAGTCCCTCCAGTCTTCAACAGGCCACTTGCATTGACCTGTCCCTGTCTTTCCAAAGCTGACCTGTCCTCTAGAGTGCTCCTCTGTGCCCCTAGGTCTGCAGCCCCTGAGAAGAGGGTCCCCTGTGCGGTGCCTGCAGAAGGGTGGGGCCCAGGCTGCGCTCCTCACCTTCCCCAGCAGTGAGCTGCTGTCAGCACAAAGTCCTCGCGCACAAGGAAACCCCCACATCTTTTTCTGCCAGGAATACTGATCTGAAGAAATGCCATGTAGGGACGAGAGTGAGGCTTGACCTCATGACCCCCGATGATTTTCCCTGCAAGAAAAATTCTACTGTGCCTGCTGTGCCCATGGAGCCAGAGGCTGGAGAGGGGAAGACTGGGAAGGACAGGGGCAGGCGGGGAGGCAGATAGTGATGTCTGCAGTCATCAGCCATAACCAAGGAGACATCCTGCAGGTTCCTTGGGCAACATTCCTGGCTTGCTACGTGACTTTACCCACAAGACTGAGATACTCCCTCTGACAAAGAGAACAGCAGTTCTGATCCCTTCATTCCTGTTGTAGCCATGCATGTGGACAATGGGATTTGTGTCTCGAATAAACAGTTTAGTGCCTGCAGATCCTGGAAAATTCTTACCCTCAGGATCCCTGGTTCTCTCTCCCTTTTTGTTCCCAGACTCATGGAGCTCCTGCTGGTTTGTACTATTCAGAACATTGGGACTAAAAAATTACCTGAGAGAACTAGAGACTAATCCAGCCTCAGGGGACCAGGAAGCCACCAACTCTGGGATCAACTGGATCCCCTGCTCCTTTACAAAGCTTGGAGAAGAGGGTAGAGATTGAGGATAGATTTTAAGACATTGAGTTAGAATGTCATGGGCCTTGCTTTGATTACAGAAGCCTGTCCCCTTTGCCAAGCTACGATTTCCTGTGGAATTATTTCTCATTTTGAGCATCCAACCATCTTCCAGATGCCTTTGCAAAAGAGCCCATTTTCTAGATGGCAAGGAATGGGGAGAGCACCCATAGGCTCTCCTCAGGAGCAGCCCTGTGCCCTGCCATCCCTGCTGCTGTCACTCAGCATTAGTCTTGCTGGTCTTTGAGGGAGGTAGGATCTAGAGTTGAAAAAGCACCTGGGGATGGTCCAGGGCCAGACCTGTTTGAGGGTAGCATGTGAGCAGGGCTGTGCCAGTACTGAATGGCATTGGGCTTCTGCTGGGGGTCAGTCACTCACCTGCCTGCGCCTTGGGAGCCAGAAGAAAGGCCATCAGGAGCATAAGTGGCTGCATATCCTCTGGAAGCTGCCCAGGTCAGAGCTGCTGGTGCTTCATCCTGGTCTTCTGAGCCCAGGGTTCTCTGGCCTTTATCACCCACGGCCCTCTCTGAGTGCGTCACACCACGGTGTTGTCAAGTTCTTGGGCAATGTGGGTTCATGTGAAGGAGGTAGAGGAAATTACATTCAGATAAAAGTTAACACTGTCAGTTTCACTTGTGTTCAGATGTCAGAACCTGTATTATGTTCACTGTACATTCCCAATGCCTGGCACTTAGTAGGTGTACAATAAGCATTTGTTCATTGATTGATAGAAAAATTGCTTTCCAGTCCTACTGCAGAGAGCAACCGTTTCTAACTCAAAAGGTAGCCCATGATGGCCAGCACGCAGTCTGAGCCTTGAGGCCAGCAGTGAGGAACAGGCCGCAGGGGACTAAGGCTCCTGAGTGACCAGCAGTCAGTGGACTCTGAGCACACAGTGGGGACACTGGGCTGGATATGAGGGTGGAGCTGGCTCTGCCCAGTGAGAGATGGCGCCAGGTGTTCTGCAGACACCCTGCATGGGGCCAACACAGTCCTGGTCCCCCAGTCACCCTGTGCCAGGGCATAAGCTGGGTGACAACTCAGTGACCAGGCCCTGCTGGAACCTGGGCACTCTGGGTGTCCTAGGTGGGAGGAATATGCAGAAGTGGGAGCTCAGACCAGTGTGGTCTGTGGGGCGCAGGGTTGGTGAACTCTGAGGATGCTCAGTGGTCAGCAGAAATGAGATGAAGGGGCAGCCAGGATACCGGAAACCAAGCTAAGCCCTGAGCTCAGAGGAGGGCAGAAAAGGGCAGGGAGAGAAATTCATCCCAGGAGGGAATGAGGAGCTTCTCAGGACTTCCCTCTGTCCTCCACCCCTGTCTCTCCTCACCATCCCCCAGACCCCAAACCTGCCACTCCCTGGTTGCTGGGGAACAATGACCTGCTCAGGAGGGCCCTCCTCTCCCCTGTGTGGTGGGGCCTCCTGAGTTGCAGCCCAGGCTGTGCCTGGTTGGTGCCCAGCACCCACGTGCTAGTCCTTTCCTCTCAGCACATAACACAGAGGAAGAAGTAAGACCTTCATACTGAGCCCAGGACCTGAGAGATTCATGTTTTCTTCTAATGGTGCTCCTCTCTGAGGGAGGGCAGGTGTGGCCAAGAAGGAGCTGGTAACAGCTTAGTATGGCTTTGAGGAGGAGATGGGGGGAGGGGAAGAGGGGGAAGCAGGACACAGCAGAATTGTGCCATTGCCTTCTGAGCACATGAGGGACAAAGAATAAACAAAAACCCAGCTCTTCCCATCAGCTAAGAGTCATTTATTTGGTTTCTGGCAGCCCCTCCCTCCCCACAGTGTGAGCCTCGATTAGCTCCAGAGAAGATGGTCTGCGTCCTGCAGTTGGAGGCTTTTCATGGTTTTCTTTATCCAGGGAAGGTAGCTGGCGACTTTGGTGAAGACTCGTGGTGGTGTCCCATCTTTGTGTCCATAGGAGACAATGCCCTGGATCTCATTTTTACACAGGAGAGGCCCCCCGGAGTCCCCCTGTGGACAGAGAGAGGGAAGGACTGAGCCAGTTCTCCTGGCTCTCCTTGCCACCCCATGCCCCCCTTGGAGAAGGCTGCCTTGCATGGTGTTCAACTGGGAGATAGCAGGCAGGCAGTCCCCATGGGTCCCTCAGCTTGGACATTGTCACTGCTTCATTTCAACCCAGGTGGCAGCTCCTTCTGTTCTCGCAGATCCCAGGTCCTCTATCTATGAAGGTGCTGCAGAGCTGTGGCTGCAGCCTACTGTGTAAGGACCCGAGAGCAGGCAGGTGGGGCTGACACCTAGCATGCAGAAGGAGCCCATTAACCAGCTCTGAGAACCCTCAGATACAACTACTGCTCACCCAGGAAACGCTTATCTAAGCGCTGTGCTCTGGCCTTGGCCAGTGTTGCACATTCACCCTGTGGAGGATCACTGTGTTTGGAGTGACTATAGGCCCTTGTAGGCTCTCAGAGACCCCATTTCTCCCAGCTCTGGGGGCTCCCCTTTTTTCTTTCTTGGGAGAAAGATCACAGAATAGAGGGTGAAGGAGTCTCCTGCTGCCTGGGTCCCCAGCTCCCAGTTCCTACCCAAATACCCCTCTCCCAGAGCCAAGGTAATCAGATGCTCAGTATCACCTGGAAGGAAGCCTTATTTTCTGTTGGGTCCCCCACACACAGTTGAATGGTCCTGTTGTAATAACGGCGTAAGTGGCCTTCACACTTCTCATCCTTCTGCAAGGTCAGCTGTACCTCCTGCAGAGTGTCTGAGTATTTGCCCCATGGGGTGACCATCCCCCAGCCGGCCACAGTGCACTTCTGTCCAGGTCTCAACCTGTTCTTGCCCCTGGGCAGTCGGAGGGGTTTCACAGCATCAGTTTGCTTGATGTTTCTCTCCAGCTGGTGGGGAAGAGGCAAGGGAGCCCAGGTCAGCCAGTGATCTCTGAGCCAGGACATTGAGGGACGCCTGAGTCTCAGGGACTGGTCAGGTGGCCGGGATGGAAGGACGGAAGGGAAGTGCTTCATTTGGTTTGAGGGGAAACAATGTGGACTCATGACAGCAAGAGCAGCAGGATGCTTCCTTACCTGTAGTAACATGATGTCGTTGGAGAAGTTCTTTGGATTATAGTCTGGGTGGGGGATGGCTCTTTTTACCAGAATGACCTGCTGGGTCTTCTCCTTCGTTTCAATGTTGTGGGCCCCTAGGGTGACATTGATTAACCTGCACAGAGAGCAGATTGGGTGAATGGTGGGGAGGTAGAATCACAAGAGATATAGCCCAGAACCTGTGAAGGGCAGGTGACAGCTGGGGCAGGGCAGAGTTGCCAACTGGGGAAATCAAGGCAACAGGGGAAAGGGGCTGAGTGACTCTGCTTCTCAATGACACTGAGGTCAGGAATCTGGGAGCTCTCTCTGGCCCTCAGGAAATGCCATGAATTGCTTTCATTTTCATTTTGACCCTAATGCATGTGTTCATGGTCCACCGCTGCTTTATTTGCCAAGTGTGGTCCTTGTCTTCATGTGTTACTTATTGTCACCTCTGACCCTCTGAGCCCAGAGATTACTTTTCCTATTTCCCAGCCTCTCATTGCTCCGTCATGATCCCTGATGGCTCCTCTGATGAGGTCTCATGGGCTTGAGTTACCAGGATGCTGGGGAGCTGCCCTGGGCTGTAGCTCCCAGGATGAAGGAGAGGGTCCCTGTATGGGTCTCAGGAGGTGTAGCCTGGCTGCGGCCCCTTACCTTCTTTTGCAGTGAGCAGCTGTCAGAACATAGTTCTTTCGCACAAGGACACCGCCACACATAGACTCCTTCTCATCTTTAATGCGAAGATAGGCCATGTAGGGGCGGGAGTGGGGCCTGGCTTCATGTCCCCCGATGATCTCCCCTGAAGGAAAAGTATGTTGCACTTGTGTTTCCCCACTGACTCCCCCAAGTAGGCACTGGCTTGATGACTCAAGCGCCTGGGCATTTGGGAGGCTGGACTGGCCTGGAGTTGTCAGGGGGTGGGGAGGGCCCTCAACTTTCTCATCTGGAAAGGGAATAGCAAAGGGGTGGGCCTGTGACTGCCTGACACATAGTTGCAGGTGAGAATACAGGTCTTAGGGACAGAGAAGGCCTGGAGGCTTCTGAAAGTTCCTCTCCTGACTTCGCTTGGTGTTGGGTGAGCTTTTGAGGCCCCCATGATGCTGTGACGTCCAGCGTAGTGCACTTTTCAGTGTCTAGGACTTAAGGGATCTAGATGCTGACACATGAGTAGTTCCCGGTAAGTGTTTGTTAGCTGCCTGGAAGGGTTGGCCCCCAATGGGCCTCTGGAATTGGGTCGGTAATGCCAGTGCTGTGGGATTCTGGAAAGCAGAGAAGTTTGGGGCTGCCAACCTCACTGGCTCATCCTTTAAGGAGAGGACCTGCTAAAGGCCTGGGAAGAAAAGCAGAGCTGGAGAAAGGGACTGAGGGGCCTTGAGCTGGAGCAGAGGAAACAGCAGCCTTCTGGGGACAGTGACTCCACCAACTGTGGGGTCTGCTGAGCTCTGGGCTTCTCTCCTAAGCAGACCCTGAGGACAGCCCCTGTCTCATCACAGACATGGAAGTCAGGACTGCTCTGCCCTCTGCAGTTTCCCAGCCTCTGCCATGCACTTCTAGGAAGTTCCACTCTCTACCTGGCACAGGTAGGGCCTGGGGAGAGCATTGTGCCCACTGGCTTTTCTTGAGAATAGGCTTCTGTCCTGTCATTTCTGCCTGTAGCTCATCCAGCATCATGTGTGGGCCTGAGATGGGATGGGAGCTGGGGTTCAGAGCATTGCTGGTGGAGAGCTGGGTCAGGGATGTGCAGAGGGCCAGGAGGTCTGTGCTAATGTGGGATGAGTTGGGCCTGTGAGGGTGGGGAGGTCACTCACCTGCCTCAGCCGAGGGGAGTGGGAAAAAGGCCAGCAGGAGCACGAGCAGGGGTGGCTGCATCTTCCCAGGAAGGCTGCTCAGGTCGGAGCTGCTGGTGTTTCTCTGTGCTCTCTTTTAGTGCCCAGGAGAGGAAGGAGGTGTGTGTGGGCTCTGTGGCCTGAGTCCCCCTCTGGTTTTGTAGTGCTTCATCCAGAAGGCTTTCTATGAAGCATCTCCGCCCTCACACCTCCTGCCTGATGATGGTCTCTGTGTGGTTGTGTGAGAAGTATGCAGTGACCACAGCTGATGACTCAGAGCAGACATTAGAGCAGACTCCAGTCCTGAGCAGGAACCCAAGGGTACAAGGTGGGGCCTGTGTGATGTGATATCAACCAGTGGAGGTACTGGAGCCCAGAAAACTGAGTCCCCAGTGAGAGAACAATCAATGCCTCATCTCCATGCTACTAAGTCCATCAGGGTAATTTCCTTTGCCCATGTGTGTTTGGGCCCTTCTCTGTCCAATGCAAACATAGCAGAGTTTTGTCTTGTTCCTTTAGAGCAGAATTTTCAACCTTTTTTATCTCATGGCACACATAAACTAATCACTAAAATTTTGTGGTACACTAAAAATATACTTTTTGCCTATCTAACAAAAAAGAGAGGTAAAATTTTGATTGATTTACAAAAAAATATAATTGTTTTCCCTTTTTGCTCCAAAATAATCAGGTTCCTACACTTCTATATAAGAATTGCTGGTACCAAGAATTTACCAATCAGACACAGCCATGTTATTGAAGGGGACCTATAAGATGCAACTATATTGCCAAACCGGTTTGGCTCAGTGGATAGAGCATCAGCCTGCGGACTCAAGGATCCGGAGTTCGATTTCGGTCAAGGGCATGTACCCTGGTTGCAGGCACATCCCCAGTGGGGGGCGTGCAAGAGGCAGCTGATAGATCTCTCTCATTGATGTTTCTAACTCTCTATCCCTCTCCCTTCTTCTCTGTAAAAAATCAATAAAATATATTTAACAAAAAAAAGATGCAACTATATTATATGACCTCTATATTTGTAGTTTAAGACAGGACATTTACACCAGATGACTGTTATTGTGTTGGCTATTGTCA